GGGATGGCATGGTACCACCCTGAGCTTGTCGTTTGGCCCTTGGCAAAAAGATTTTATTAAGGAACAACAATCCATTTTGATCTTTTTAGTAGAAGACAGCAAAGAAAAAATAAATAAAAAAAGAATTCAAATGAGTAATTTTTAAACTATTAAAAACTAAAGTAAAATTTTTATAAAGTTAAATACTACTAAGTTGATTGATGTTTATAATTTTAAGAATTAAAATATATATTTACTCTCTTACTATTCTTTGGTATTTGTGTGTTTTTATTTTTGGGGTAGGGGCAAAAGGGACCAGGCTGTGCTCATGTTGATGTGGACAGTGATGCCACCTAAATTTGTTATATTGCAATTCAATTTCAATCAAAATTGTCATCATATGTTATGTCCTCATTCGCTTATTAATGATTATTTGCACTGTTCTATTACTCATGCTCAAGTGGACTAGGGAACACTCAAATATGATTTAGCCCTTTCAAGAAGAAACTTGACGTGCCCAAAATTTCGTAGGTTCATTTTTGTTTCGTCTACATAATAGAGATGCTTCGATTTATCGATCATATATATCCATGAATAATGAATCCATGATTTTGTTAAGGATATTCCATGGAATCTCGTAACAGTGACAAAAATGTTTGATTTTGTGTCAAAGAAGCTTCAGTCACCTATTCCCCACCCCTTTTTCTTGGTTTTTTCAAAAAATAAAGGGAAAAGGATCTTTGAAGTTCGATTACTTCGACGCTTGGCGATAAGCATGGGCTAATCTTACTTTTGTGGGCCTACTGATTTACCTAAACTCCGGTTCATAACTTTAAAGATGATTAACTGACTTGAAATATTATTCTTTTGTATGAGAAAAAAACAAAAGCAATTTCGATTTCAGTTATATCTTATCTCTTCTTAATTTAATCCATGTCAACATGATTTGGTCATGTACATATGTGTGAATGAGACTTATGCATCATGACTTAAATACAATAATAATTACAACATGATAATAAAAAGCAGGTTCCTAATCCTACTTTGGCACGGGTAGATATGAATGTACACTCGGATGCATGGCATGCCACTTTTAGATACTCCAACTAATTAAAAATGATTACTGGTAATTACATTTGTATTACCAATAAGCTCCTTACCTATCATACATAATGAATTAAACAGAGAACGATATTCAGTTTTGTATTATAAAGTGAAAGAGAGATTTGCAGGTGTAACCACCAATAGCCGCAGCTTAACCATTTTTTGTTAGTCGTATTTGTTTAAAGTCTGAATGTTAGTATGCTAAGAAATTTTGGAGGATTTCGCTCTCTACCTCAATTATTAGTATTACTGTGCGACTTTTTGTGTGTGTATAATAAAAACATTTCTTAATTAACAATTAAAAAATAATTTTTTAATAAGTTAAAATTTGTTAAACTATTTTTATTAAATTTTTCTATGTTTTCTGATAAATATATTTAAAGAATTACATTAATTTTCAATCATAAACACAATAATACTTGGTGCAGAATAATTTTTGAAAGTTTAATCAACATGATAGGAATATTAATTGATGGATATTTATCGTAAAATAAATTCACTTGGTGCAGAACATTAAAATGGAAAGAGGGTAAGCGTTGATTAAGGTTGAAATACTGAGTTGATTAGCAGAAATAAGCTTTCTTGTTCATCCTTCTGGCTAGTTTTTCCCTAAGGAGAAACATTTTAAAAACTTAATTGTTGGATTGCGGCCAACTGTCTCAACCTATGAAACAGTGTAAATTTTATAGGAAGAATGGTCCCTACACTTCCCTGCTAATCTGATATTGCTGCGCTTTACGTTAGTATATATCACCAATAATTGCTGCTACCCTACCCCACCCCTTCTTTGCCCCCACCATCCCCATTCATTATTAATTAATCATAATAATCAGATTAAGGATTCTTTGCATCTCTTGTTCAAGTAAACCACACAATCACCATCCTCTCATCGCGCCCTCCGCATTTCTTCATTCAACGCCGATCAACGTGCGGTGGCGGGCGATCGGGGTGTAAATACGTGACACTTTTACTTTTTCTTTTCTTTTTTTACTTTTTAACCAGAGAAAATCTTATTCAAGTCAATAATTAAAATTAAAGTGTAAAGTATATTTATAATCTATAATTAAAATATATAGATTATTTATTAAATTTTACATTAGATTACATGTATGCTTCCTTGCAAACAAGCATAGCACTATTATTCATGGTCTGGCGTCATAAAACGTCACCTGTTTGGGGGCCTGTTAGGACTGTGGACAATGCTTCCGATTTTGCTATTGCGGTTGAGTTTCGTTGAGCAAAAGTCAAACAGTTTTTAGAGAAAGATAAAAGAGTTTCTCAAGGCTTCCATTCCAATCCAAACCACCCTCAAATCCCTCTATGTTGTTATCTTATTACATAATAACAATAAAATAATCAAGAAAGCATGCTCTGAGCATAGAAGGGGTCCACACGTTTTGGGTATTTTATTTTCTCCAAATTTTATTATTTTAGTGAACATAATTCCAAAAGTTAATTACTAATATAGAACTAGAAAAGCCAATCAAACTCAATATTGAATAAAATAAAGTATGCTTAGCGGAATTTATTCCGTATCGAGTGGTGGGGTTTGAATATTGTCTCGCAAAATTCGGAGGGCATGTGGCAGAATCAGCCACAGCCAAACATTAGAGGGCGCGTACCAATTTTAATTCTTGCACTTCACTAACCTTTTCCGATTTGGACATGTTTAATTAAATTTAAATCAATAACATGTTTAATCACATTGTAAAAAAATATTTTCCAGCTCATCCCACATTCATCTCCGATAATGTCAACACGTGTCCAGTGGCCGTAATTTTTAACGAACTTAGATTAAAAAATTGCAGATAGTTTGTGAAAAAATATTTAAAAAGATATTATATATAATAATTAGAGCGAGTGAGTGGTGAGTTGATCGGGTTGGTTTTGCATAAACAATAGCATTAGCGAGCGCAATTTCCTATGCAGGTGCATCAAAATGATATATTCAACGCCTCAAAGAGGAGGTGGTGGTGTTGGATTGAAACAGTATCCTTAACCAAAAAACAACCTTTTTTCAATGTCGGCGCCGGAATGTTTCACTTTTCACCCTCGGATCTCGTTATTGCGACGCGTTATTTTTGTTTTTCTTGGGGTTCTTTTTCCTCTTTAATAATTGATTAACGACGGCAGCTACGGCTCACCAAAGCCAATTTACGATTGTAGTAATCATGTTGACCTTTCCATGGTTAAAGATGATTATAATTAGCCATAATCACCTTCTTAATTTCCTCTAAAAGTAATGCTTTTATGAGTGTTGATCTCTCTTTATCGATATTAATGGTACATTTTCGGCTTAATTTAGTGGGGAAGGTCTATTAGAATGCCCATTTGTTGGCATATTTTTTGTTCCATATCCTCTATGATATTGACCATTTTATCTTTTTGCAAATTTGGTTTAGAAGTTTCAAGGAAGTTGCAGAGATAATGTCAATATTCAGCCCCATTTGTTTAGTGGCTAGTCCATCTTACTCATATATACATGACATGTGGTGAAATTAAATATTTATCGACGATAATGATTTATATATTGTTTTCTTCCAAACCAACAAAATCAGCTATCAGTACTTTACAATTATAAAAAGCATATATTTAATTTAAATATTAGAATAAGACAGATTCATTAATTCTCTCGATTAATTGTTTTTGCCATAAAATATTATGTTAATTAATTTAAAGTTTAGTTGTAACTTGCGATGTCAAAGGGGCAAATATTTCTAAACCTAATCTTTTAAAAATATAAAAAATCTAATATTTACCTTCTCTTGACACATGTACATATTTTTCTTCTTCGGTGTGTTATTTTCATTTATATTTATAAATATATAAAGAGGATGCAGGTGTTATTTTTTATTTTTATCACTGATGGTAGGAAAACAGTTGTAAAGATGTAGTTTGTTTAATTAAAAAGGAGGCTTCACATTTTAAGAATCAACAAACAAAATCTTCAATGCCTGGTAAGAATGGAACATTGGAAAGCTCTTGGAAAATTCACAATCCTTTTTTACAGCTTCTTCTCTTGACTTATGGGCCGGGTGTGAAAGCCTTTGGATTCTTCCCAACAGGCACTACTTTTTTTATCCTCTTCATTGTGTGGGGAATTGTTGCCATCAGTCCATAAATTCCATTATAAATATTTCATATTAATTAAAATATATAATAAGCTTGCCAATCATGTAAGCAGTAGATATGATATATCTATATTAATTGGTCTAATTTTTCAATGAGAGTAGGAAGCAAATGTGTATATATATTATATGAATTAGAAGCTGAGCCAAGCTAGCCACCAACTGAAACAACCACCACCCACCTAAAGCTGCTGGTATTTGTAGACAAAATCAAAATTTAAGAAATTAACTAAGCCACCCGAAGTAGCAGTAGAAGAATTAGCAACATCTGTTTTCAATAGCACACATTATTATAGGGGGAAAAATTAAAGACATAAAGGAGGAATAGGAGTTCATTTTATTTTCTACTTCTTCCACTGTTCCACAGATTTGAACGGAGAGGTAGCGGTGAATGATGATGGAAACAGGCAATGAAAATCTGCAAATGTTAGGTTGAAGCTAGCGGATGAAGTTGTTATATTTCATTTATTTTTAATATGAAAAAGTGGGGGGAGCCTATAGAGACTGGGCCCCACAAGCTTTGAAAGCTCCTTTTTTACCATTTCTTTTCTCACATTCGTTTTCAAAGGGGTAGATATACGAAGAAACCACCCATATAGGACATACGTCATAAACCAATAAAAGTATTCTATTTTATCCCTCATTTTTAATATTTTTCTTCATATCTCGTGATCTTATTCATCATCTTACATTTTTTTATTATTTTTTAAGCTACACTAAATGTGTACATTTTGTGACCATCTTTTCCCCCTAAATTATACTAGTATATTGAAAACAAAACAATAGAAAAAACAAAGAAAAAGAAAAACAAAACACCAATTGTAGGCTTCCTCAGCAAGTGCCTTGCACACCACGGATCTTACAGCGTGAGATGTGCGTGTAGACGCTCCTCTATTTAAGCACACCATCTTCCCTTCGTTCTACTTTCTTAAAAGCTTTCTTCCAATTCTTCTTCTTCTTCTTTTTCTTTCATCACTAGCTATCTAGAATTGATTCAACCCTCTTCAATTTCCATCTCTTGTTATAATTGCTTTTTTCTTCTCTTTCGTGTGAGATTATTTTGCTAGCTTGAAAACGCTACTGGGTTTTGTGACATATTTGAATACCTCAAACCCATATATTTGATTTCATGGAAGAGCCTGTTGTGGTGAACAAAGGTGAAGAGCCTCTGGATTTGCCTCCAGGTTTCAGGTTCCACCCCACTGATGAGGAGATAATCACTTATTATCTCACTGAAAAGGTGAAGAATAGTAGTTTCAGTGCAACTGCTATTGGAGAGGCTGATTTGAACAAGTGTGAACCTTGGGATTTGCCAAGTAAGTTTGGTTATTAATTTCTCTCTCATATTGTATCCTTATTATTTTTCTGATTGTGTTTTGATAATTTTAGATTGAATTCAAAACTGGGTTGAAGTGAAATAATGTTCTTATAAGTTTTTAATATGTGAAATGATTGATTGTGCAGAGAAAGCCAAGATGGGGGAGAAAGAGTGGTACTTCTTCTGTCAAAAGGATAGGAAGTATCCAACAGGTATGAGAACGAATCGAGCAACAGAATCTGGGTACTGGAAGGCCACGGGAAAAGATAAGGAAATTTACAAAGGGAAAGGGAACCTTGTTGGGATGAAGAAGACCCTTGTGTTCTATAGAGGGAGAGCTCCAAAGGGAGAGAAGACTAATTGGGTCATGCATGAATTCAGATTGGAAGGCAAATTCGCAATTTACAACCTTCCTAAGGCAGCAAAGGTGTGTATGAAAAGTGAACCTTTTTTTTGTTTGGTTTGTTGCTTTATTTACCATTTTATCTTAGGAATTTTTTCATCCTCCTCCCTTTTTCACTTTTTAGAAAGTGTCTTTTTTGTGTTAGTTTGGGAGTTTCTTTCATGCAGTCCCTTTAGTCATATAGCTTTAGTTTGATTAATTAATTGTCTCAAGAAGCTAACAGTTTGCTTTTTTCAATTTTGTTTCTTTTGGGATGATATTATTGCAGGATGAATGGGTTGTCTCAAGGGTTTTTCACAAGAACACAGATGTTAAGAAGACCTCAATTCCTGGCCTTTTGAGAATTAACTCTATAGGGGATAATGATCTTCTTGATTATTCTTCACTCCCACCTCTCATGGATCCTCCTTATGCTAACACCAACAACAAGTTTGCAGGTTACAGTGACCAAGACTTTAAGGGTTCAACAAACCCACTTTCATCAACTAAATCACAATCAGAGGGCTATTATCTTCCCAGCTTCTCCATCAACAATCAACACCAGCTTCTGATCAAGCCAGAAGACCACAGAACCTATGAGATTCCCACAATTAACTACTCCAACCAAGCCAATCTCGGCAACCCAATGGACAATAACACACTCTCACCCTCTCAAATTCGTAGTACCCAAAACCCAAGCTCCCCCTTGAACATGTTCTCTGATTACTACATGCACCAAAACAGGATGAAAAATTCACTCATGCCAAGTGTTGCAGGCTCAGGTTTTGGGAGCAATAGTAACCATGATCAAGCTATTCTAAGAGCATTTGCAGCAAAGAATAACGAGTACTACATAGGTGGATTGGACAATCAGTGCAAGATGGAACAGTTCTCTTCTAACCACTCACAAGACACAGGCTTAAGCAACGACAGAAACACTGACACATCCTCGGTGGTTTCAAAGCAAGACAACATGGGAAGAAATAGGGCATTGTACGAGGATCTTGAAGGTCCTTCATCAGTTGCACCTCTCTCAGATTTGGAATGCCTGCAGTGGGATGATTACTGAAGTGTGATGATCATAGAGAGAATTGAAAGCAAGTTTGCCGATCCATGGTTTTTTTATTTTGGGATCATAAGCATCATACATAGTAATTATTACATACCTTGGTTTTTTCTTTTTGGGTTTTTCGTTGGTTTTTAAACAGTCTTCTACATACTGATTTTATCATTATAAATATGATACACATTTTTAGACATCACAGGGAAGTTCTTGGGTACACATACACTGTATAGATTTATGATATCCAGGATTTTCAGTATTAGTTTTTTCTTTTCTTCATAGGTTATATCGAAGGGGGGAAGGACCTGGTGAATCATGTACATCTATATTCTTTTGTTATATTAGTGGGTTTGTTTTATTCTTTTTCTTTGAATTTTTCTAGTTGCTTTATTCCAAGTTCGACTCGTCGCTTCTGTATACAAATCAGAATTTTCTCTGTATTAATTAAATCTTGTTGAATCCTTCAGATCAGTGTTTTTTGTTTATTTGCTCTTGTAGACATTGCGAACCAAAAATATTCACTCTATATTTGGCACTCGTTATAAGCCCCTCAATTCTTCCTGCTGCATATTATATATTTTTTATGCTGTCGAATGTATCTTTGTGACACACCACCAAGAGTGCGGAGCATTAATTTCCAAGAAAATTCTTTTTCTTTTTTCTTTCCAACCTGTGAATTTAAAGGTTTTGGTTACCTAGCTAGTGCCTCCCACCATGACACCAATGTTGTCTCCTTTCAAAATTTCAAGTACACCGCGTAAGATATGATGCTTTTGATCACGTCGAAATTTCTTGTGAACTAATCATCAATGAATTGAAATTGGTAATTGCTATCCTAGCACATTGTTTTGGGGGTAAGAAATTAATAAAAAAAACATTCAAAATTATAAAAAAGTGTATATTATTTCATTTTCAATAAAATTACTTTAAATTATTTAACAAATAGTTTTAGATCACTAATTAGTACTTGTATATACTTTTAGTCATACTAAGGATATTAGTTAAATAATAAAAAAAATATTTTTATCAGAAAACACGTTAAAAGTGTATAAAAAAATTAAGATGAGAGTATTGATGAGATTTTTCAATTTTTATTTTATCAATCGATGCCTTAAAGCACCTGCTCCCATTTACTTGTTTTTTAAATATATTTTCTATCACAAACATTCATTTATCTATGCATACATCCATAAATACATATGTGTGTGGATTTGTTTGTAGAGAGAGATCATAATATATTAAATGAAAGAGAATGTATTCTTATATAAAAATAAATAAATGTTGAATACAATTATATAAATGATCAACATTAAAAATTAATTAACTCACCTAATTAATTTTGACAAAATATATGCTTTTTTTAAAAATAATAAATAATTTTTATGTTTAAATTATGATAATTCATTATAAGGATTAATAATTAAAATTTGATTACTTCAGTCTTACATTAAAAAAAATATCGTTTGTCCATGCACAAAATAGCTAATATACTAAGATAAGCATTAATAATGTAACTTATGCACTCCATTTTTTTTATGTGGGAAATGGAAAAAAAAATTAAATAAAAAAACAGAAGAAGAAGAAGAAAAAAATATAATAGGTGAGAGTGCTAACTAGGAATATGAATATTATTATTAAGATAATTCTATCATAATAAACCATAAAAGAAATAAATGATTAATTATTTTTTTAAAGAAATTATATATATATATATATATATATATTATATAAAGATATGTTGACATTAAATACGAAATTTCCAACTATTGACTTAAAAGATTTTTATCTAATAGATCAAATTTATAAAATTTTATATAAAAATAAAATTAACAGATATTTTATTACATTATTTTTTAATGAGTATTTTATTTTTAAAATATAAAGAAATTTTAAATAATATATATTTTTATATAAAATTTAATATACATAATTATAAAAATAATATAAAATGATTCAATAGTTTAACTGCTGTCTTTGATGAAAAGTTATTTATAGTGTAAGTGTTAAGTTTAATGTTTAGTGTAAAAAAATTGTAACATATATGTAAGTAAATTTTTAAAAAACATTATTAAATATTTTTTATAGTAGTTTTTAATATCCTCGCAACGTGATTTTTAATAATTTTTTTATTATTGATTTGCTGTTAAGACACGAATCAGCGTAGGCATGTATATAACTGGAGAAATGAATATGTAGAGACTGGAATGTGAGCAAGCACCAAATAGTCAAGTTGATGAAGCATGTGAATAATTCCCTGAATCTGCGCAGAAGATGCCTGTGGGGAGAGCATTTCCAGAATATTAAAGGACATAAACCAGAGAGTCTCCATAATAATAATTACAAATTAACTGTTTCTGTGACAACAATGGCAGGTTTCTTGATTGCCGCTGAATCTTTTGTTGAAAGAAACCTAGTCATCACATGTCCAACTAAATCATGTCATAGGTTGAGCTGTTAACGGTGTGCCATCTTTCTTTTCTGACATTTGTGCAAAATATACATATGTATACCACATATACATGTCTCGTGGGTGTAGCATTACACTAATTTCCGCAACCTACCTTATACTCTCATATATACTTTATTTCTATATAGGTATACATTTGTGTGCACTTTTTTTCTCACTTTAATTAGCCCATGTATGTGTGATGAGTGTGTTAGGCAAATAATTGAGTCTCAAGGGATAAGATCATAAGAGGGAACCAAAAGGTATAGAAATACATGTGAATGTGAGAAGAACAAAGGGATAGGATAAGAGGGATGGGTTTATAAGCAAAGGCTAAAAAAGGGTGAGTGAGAGATAGATTGATGGATAGATAAATGATGGGGTACATAGGAAGCACGGTAGAGGTGGCGGGGGAATGGGATAAGGGTATCGGTTATTGGAAGAGAAGAAAGGTTTAACCATTAATCATGTGATGTGAGCATAGAGTTTTGCTTGGGTTTTTTTATGTGATTAAATGGAAATATGTTAAGTGCATATTCTTTTCCATTCAAAGCAAAGCGTTCATTGCGGTTTTATGCTTGCGGGGAACTTAACTGCACTTTTATGGTTGTGCCTTCTTTGGCTTCTTCCGTCTTATAATGCGCTGCCAATCGATCTTGGTGTTTTTGTTTCATCTTTCATGGTGTGTAAAGGTTGAGAAAGTGATTTGTGGGAAGCAAAGGAATAAAGCGTGAAATTCTCAATCATCATAAAATAGACTACCTTTAGCCCTCTCTTTTTAAAAGAGTTATATCATTTATATAATATTTTATTTTTATCTTTTAAAAATTTATATAATTATAATTTCTCTTTTCTAAAAGCAGTTTGATATTGCCAAAAAAATTCATCCTTACAAGTACTCCTCCCACCCGCTTCAACTTTGACAAAAACAATTTATTGGACCGTGTCTGAATTAAATTTTTCCCCAATATGTAAATACAAGAGATCTGGCAAGTTGCATATGTATACCCACATTAAACCCCAAACTCGACCCCACTCTATATAATAATTTAACTATAATATGATTTTTATTGTGTCTATGAATATCTCGCGTGCAGGCATTAAATACATTATATTAATTCTTTTTTTACTTTTTTTAAAAATATTATTTTTATTCTTTTTATATGTTAAATACTTTTCATTTGTTCATTCATTTCAATAGAAATCTCAAATATAATAGTAGTTAGAATATCTATTAAGCTTATATGTATGCTTAAATTAATTGTATAATTTGATTATTAAATTTCTTACTTTCTTAAGTTTTTAATATCTTTTTATGAGAAGGTGCAAAAAGAAAAGAGGAGGAGGGGTTGAGTCATCACTTTTTCATTCCTATCCAAGCCTCTTTTTTTTTTTTTTTAAAGTACACATTTCTTTTCATTGACAAATTAATATATATTATACTGATTTATTTTAATATAAATATGTAACACTTTTTTTTCTCCCTCTCTCTGTAAATCACAACATTATGGAAACAATTAATTCAAATCTTACAACTAACTTGGAAACTTTAGACGATGAAATAAAGACTTTTCGTGAAGTGCCAAAACTAACAATAAAAATATTTTAAAATTGATATTATCTTTAAATTTTCAAAATCGGTAATAAACATTTAAGATTAGTTGACTAAAATACTGAGAGTGGTATAATTTATATGTGTATATATGTACGTATGCACTAAATTATATTATTTTTTAATTTTATAAAATATAATTGATCAAAGAATCGTGAAATAAAAAAGGAAATAAAAAAATAAAGCATTACAGTTTAAATAATAATAATTTGTTGCATGAAAAATGGGAGAAGCGCGAGGGACTCACGGACCAATGAGGAGCCTACAACAAATGATCTTCTAGATCTCTGTCCTGATGAAAACGATATACCTACCTAGCTAACATCATCTTATGATGTCAAATTCTTCTAAAGTTCTATGTCCATTGCACTGCGGATATAACTTTACTTTGTTTAGTTTCATTGTATTTTAATTCTTATATATTAATTTTTTTAATGTTAGATTTTAAAGATTTTTTAAATAATTTTTTTATTTGCAAAATTAAGCAAATGTAGTTATTTTCATTAATTATTTTACTTAAAATTCTGAGTTTTTATTTTTTAATAAAAAATTTGAAAGTAAGAATTTTAGTATGAAGTTGATAAATTTTGAATTATTTTTAAGGCAAGAATTAAGATTTAAAGAAAACATATTTATTTTAAATAAAATCTATTGTTTTGGTCAATGAGTTTGAGGAAAACATTATTAAATTGATTAAATTTATAAATATTTTAATTAAAAATGATAATTTAGGATTATAAATAAAAAATGCATAAATTAAGTTTATTTAATTTTAAAAATAAAAATTAATTAACTTAAAAATAATTGAGAGTCTAAATCATTACATAATTTAAATTAAAAAATTTAAAAGTATAATTAAGCATTAGTTTTTTTACTATTTTCTAATTTTAAATTTTTATCTCTGTCCTATTTAATTAAAAAAAAAAATGGGGTGAGGATTTGACCATTGAATTTTTTATTTTATTTTTATATATTATTTGTACTATCTAGGAAGAGAGTAGCATATGAAATATGAATGCAGCTTTATAGGCCTGGGAATGAATTTCTTTGGGCGTTCAATTTCTAGTATCTTTCTTTTTCTTTTACCAAAAATATTATATTGAGGCTGGCACATGAAGAACACGTTGCCTAAACGTGGTTAATGAATAATTTTCTGTTACCCAAACGTGGTTAGTTCTTAAAATTTTTAGACATCAATTATTTTATCCTTTAAAATTTACACATTGATTTTATTCTTAAAATTATGCAAAAACAATAATAAAATATTTAGTCTATCATATTACCAAAATTAATTGTTTTAATATATACATGATTACTCATTTTATCAAACAATATATTTTCATTTTTATGAGAGGAAAATATAATTCTAAAAGATGAAGAATAAGAATTACATATAAAATTGATAATTCTAACACTTTGACATAAAATGTGAAAAAATTACGAAATCACCTTAAATATTAAATAAAAATAGTAAAAGAGGATAAACGTGT